ACATTGGAAAATGTCACTGCAAAAAGTCCGCAGCTTATACCTTTGACTTATGTGCTTAAGCAACATAGGAGATTAACTCTGAAATTGAAATAATAAATGAAATTCTGATTGTAAGCTCGTTAACATCTACCCAGGGCCAAAAATCATCAATATTCTAAGCTGTTGAAGCTAGGGTTTCAATAGTATCAGTAAAGTAGTGGCTCACCGATGCATCTGGATGCTAAGGAGACTAGCGATCCAATCCGCCTTCTCTTCAGCTGTCCGAGCAGCCAGCCAAAGTTGATGTACTTGGACGCCAGGTGGCAAAGGACTTCGGGAAGTTGCATTTGATGTAAAGCAGCAACATGTGTTTAGTGGGACCGACGCAAGCATTGCGCTGCTAGCCACACAAGTAGCGCAAATGGGACAAGTAGATGGCAATCCGGGCCCTTGACCTAATGCAGTAACTGAAGAAGTATGACTGGACTGACAAAGAATGCCGTTATATCCTAGAGGTAAAAGAGCTTCGTCTAAGGATCCATGGTGCCGATGTCCTGAAGGATGTTGCAAGATATTCTGTGGTAGATGATGATTCATAAGATGAGAATGGGGCTGATGACCATGAATGTTGTGATGATGTAGTTGATGTTGGAGGTTGTGCTGGTGGCTGTGCTGATGGTGATGATGAAGGCAATGATGTGAGAGAAAGCCAAGATGACTCGAAGAAGCGAATGTGCAGCAAGCAGATCCCTGTGGAATACTTAGAGGAGATATGTTGAAAGAGGAGTTTGGTGAACCTAAGGGAACAGAATTGAAAGAATATTGGCCAGAAGTCGAAGAGGGAGGAGGATGATACTCGACAAATTCAAGCTGGAATGCATAAGGAAAAGTGGAGGGAGCGGAAGAGGAAGATGAAGGTGTAAGGATGGAAGAAGTAAGTGCCCCAGAAGAGGAGGAAATAGATGAGGCCGAGTAAAGTGTGGTACTAGTGTTAGGAGATGGAGAAGATGAAAGAGCCGTGGAAACAAAGTTAACACCAGTAGAAAACAATGAGTTGACAGGTCCGTTAATATAGCCTCCCCCAGCATGGTTTATGAGAGAAGTGTGACCAGAAGTCAGATTCGATTGACTGCCTGCAAAAAGACCTAGGGAAGAAAATAGAATTGCAAGATAAGAATAGATGAATAATCGGTGGTGGGAAATTGTATCAAAATGAAATGGAATTTATAGTTACAACAAATATTATATGATATTACATAAAAAATATTTATAATGTTCGTTCGACCTGGTCACTTTGATAGGTTGTAATTCTGTGCTTACAATGTCGGCGAAACATTTAGGAATGTACCCAATGGTCCAATATTGGAAATCACCAATACTATGGCAGAGGACACGGGACTAGCTACGTTCCACAAGGTCTCCCTGACGCTCCGACCAAGTCGCGAAAACAAGATCGAACCAACACTATAATGCTAAAGAAGACTGAGACCAAACAGAAGGCCACGCCATCTTGGTCTGAATATCTGAAGTATTTTATTCATTTTTAGTTTTATGAGTCGATTTTCGAAACTACCAGTAAATCGTATATATGAGGCGTATTAATTATATTTCCTGTAAGGTAGTAAGGGAAATAGTGGTTAAATTT